TCTATCCTCCGTTATTCCCTTGACTGATGATAAGAGGGGAAGTAGCGAAGCGCATTTATCACTTGCATTGGAAATCTCATCATCCTTGATGGATTATTTGCTGACGAAACCTCAGCATGGAATCAGGAAACCCGGTTGGTTCCTACAAACCTACTATACTTGTGGCGTTGGCGATGCATTCGTGCTCCAACTAGAGGACGCGTGTACTTCTCAGAAACTCGTTCTTTTCTGCCTCATATCTTTGAAACGTAGGTTACTGGTATTCGACCATAGACGCCGTCGAATCATTCCTCTCGTATGTTGGGGCCACTGAGCGTGAGATTACTGAAGTTATGTGAAAGTGACAAGTCGGTTGATGCAACTGGAAATCTCCATCGACTAAGGTGTTGAAGACACGTACTAAGTAAGTCCAACAACCGCCTACCCCAAGGCGCGATGATGGTTTGTGTAGAAATATATTGAAATATGTTTAGGAGCTGCCAAACCGAAATATGGCATCAATTCATGTGGTCATTGACTGTTGGATTGAGATATCTAGGCAGATACTGATTACCTGGTTGGTCAGTAGTTGAGGACATAAGACAACGTGATTTGTAAGCGGTCTCAATGCCTTGAGCTTCATAGTAATTTATTTTTATTCGTTTTATTCAATCGTTTCTTTTCGAAATATATTCTCAATACTTAATCTTCGTCACCATTATTGATATTGCTATTATTTGGACTTCTGGTTTTTATCTTGCTGAGTTGATTTTCTCTTATCAAACTCAGTATAGCGACTTCGGCTGGCGCATGTTTGTCTTATATTGTATGTTTATTATGACTGACATGAATATTCTAAACAATGGAATAAGGGTCTTGCCACAGGAAACATTTTAAATCAGATTAGATCAGCGTATCCTTAATTTTGTAAACAAACTTGTTTGAATTCAATTTATTTATATGGTTTTCTTAACCCCATATTTTCAATAACACACTTTTTGGTCCCTGATTGTATGAATTCCAAATAAGCAGATATTAAATGACAGTAACTCATATATGTCAGTAATTTTTTCCTTCATATTTATGAACTTAGCTAGATTTCCATATTACGTTTCCGCTGTAGTTACTCGAAACGTATAATGTTAAACGTTATATGATATTTAGTTTGTTTAACGAAACTGAATGTCATTACTGTATCTGCTAGTCCACCATTCTGTGTTCTTTCAGTAGGTTGGTTATATGACCAGTCTTCATATTAATACTTCTCCACCTTGTAGCCTAAATTTTAATTCATACAACATACTGGGATACGTGTGTTATAAGGATACATACACAAGGGTTTAGTCGTAGGGTTTCACGATGTTACGAATACTGTGGTGTGTGCTACTTATATTGACATAAGTAGTATATGGTGTTAGTCAGGAACAGGAGGTCTGGCAGCAGAGAGACAAGAGGATCGAAAAGTAAAGAATGGAAACAGGATGCAGTTTGTATGAAAATGCAAGAACAATAAAGTCTGAGTCATTTTGAGACAATTGATGGACATTTTGCAAATTAAGCATTTACTTGATGATTGTTAGATTTTATTAACAAGTGAATTCAGCGAAGAAAATTTTCTTTTCGACGAAATCATTTACTTAAGCTGTGTCTAAAACCGACCGAGACCCAAGCTTCTTTTCCTGAATCTCCAGAGAAATTTGTTTTCAATTACTCAAGTATAACATTATCGACTATTCAGCTACAAGCATTATCCCTTGGTCCTAAATTTTGTAGCACTTCCACTAACATTAATGAACTCAACGCGAAAATACAGTTTGAAGGCCTCATGCGACAGACAAATGACCTTACTCCAGTGTCTAATGAAGATTTTGAGCATTTTAAAACAACTCTTGTGGACTGTTGTAATCAATATGTAAATAAAATACCTACAATTAGCCGATTACTCACAAAAGAACATAAATCTCAATTATCTGATCTGCGGAGAAATCAGGACTTAGTTTTATGCCGCCCAGACAAGGGTGCAGGAATTGTTCTTATGGATCGTATTGACTATGTTACAAAAATATCTTCAATATTATCTGATCCTGTCAAATTCTCTATTGAGAACGTTCAAAAAGACACTACTGAAAAAACTGAACAAATGCTAATTAAAATTTTGAAGAAAATGAAAGATGAGGATATTATCAATCATGACCTCTATGAACACCTCAAACCATCTGGTTCTGTTGTACCAAGACTATATGGACTACCAAAACTTCATAAGAATAATAACCCACTACGTCCTATACTGGATATGAACAATTCTCCCTATCACTTAATCGCTAAATGGTTAGTTAACATTCTACAACCTGTCAAAAATCATATCAATAAACACAATTCTCTTGATTCCTTTGACTTTGTTGACTCCATTAGAAATATCAATGTATCCGGTAAAAAAATGTTCTCATTAAACGTCACTTCTCTTTTCACAAATGTTCCCCTCACAGAAACCATTTGCTTTTTATGTGACTATATTGAAAATAATAATCTTGATATGCGTATCCCGATACATTACCTTAAAGAACTACTTCTAAGATGTACGCTCAACGTGCAATTTAGATTTAATGATATTTTCTATAAACAAATAGATGGAGTTGCAATGGGCTCTCCATTGGGTCCTCTTCTGGCTGATTGTTTTATGGCGAACCTAGAAAATTCGGTACTTCGACCAACAATTGAAAGATTTCATTTATATAAAAGATATATGGATGACACTTTCATTATTTGCGAAGAAGACAGTGACCTCAATGATATTTTGAATATTTTCAATAACTGTCACCCATCAATCCAATTCACCTTAGAAGCAGAGACAAACAACGAATTTCATTTTCTTGATATCAATTTAAAAAGAATGCCTGACGGTTTATTACAGAGATCGATATACAGAAAACCCACCTGGAATGGACAATACACGAACTTCCACAGTTGGGTTCCATTAATTAGAAAAAGGAACTTAATTCATTCTTTATCCTCAAGGATCAGGCGAATTTGTTCCAACGACACAATAGATGGGGAACTATTTTATCTTCGACAGACCCTCATCAAAAACGGTTATCCACCGAGATTCATCGATAGAAACTTGGTACCTAGACCCCATGACAAAGCATTGACAGTAGAGAAAAAAACTCTATTTATGAATATGGAATTTAAGGGAGATACAGCTGCTGAAATCCTAAATAAACGGATTTCGAAATCAATGAATAAAACATTCCACGCAGCTAAACTTCGAATCATCTTCTCTAGCCGACCTACCATTCTGGGGTGCGTAAAGGACAAACTTTCGCTTTGGGCCACTTCAATGTGTATCTATAAATTTACTTGCTCATGTGGGGCACGTTACATAGGCCGCACAAAGCGATCATTATCCAAACGCATCTCGGAACATTATCCGGCTTGGCTTTTGAAAGGAGAGCGAAAAACAATCACGAGTTCTATACAGGAGCACTTAATCAACTGTGGACATATCGCTCCAAAAGACTCTTCGTTTAAAATAGTTTACAGAGTCAAAGGAACTGGATCGAAGGGGGTTCGAATCAATATTTTATGCACCGCAGAGGCATTGGCAATCCACAAACTGAAGCCTGACCTTTGTGTGCAGAAACGATTTGTCCAACCTCTTATCCTTCCTTGGCATTAATGGGTATGTTGCTAGGTGTTTTTTTTCTAATGTACTTTTATTATTATCCATATTTTTAAATTACTATTTTGCACTTTAAACTTTAATCATTTATTATTATTACCTTTTACAAGTTTTCTTGATTATCATTCAGTTTATTATTATGACCTTTGTTGTTTTGTCGTTTTTCTTCATATCTGTCAATCTGTCAATTAAACTATCATCTGACCCTTAAATTTTGTTCTTCCTTACCCCTTGATTAGTACGTTAACCTCATTTGTTATTTATTGTCGAATCCATTTTTCGTGATACAATCCTTTCTATCCTTCTATAGACATACATTTTCCATATAACTATATATACGAATGTACAGCTTAAGTAAATGATTTCGTCGAAAAGAAAATTTTCTTCGCTGAATTCTCTTTTTCTTATTCAATGACACTATGGGTTATTTTAATTATTAACAAGTCCTGTAATTTTCTATTAAGTACATTCGATTGTCCCCTCTCGTGTTCTGTTCACCACAATACGAACTCACTAAAATATGAGTGTCATGTGTTTGATCATTCTCATAGTATTGAATATTCTATTTTCTGTAGTATGTAATATACTATCTGCAGAATATTATTTAGTTTTATGACATAGATGATTGTGACAGCTTATATTACCCTTATTTCAACTCTTGTTGGAGCAAATATGGCAAGTTAGCTAGAAATATTATTTTCTTGTAAGAATTGTTATTGTTCGTTCAGCATCCGATGTCATTTTGAAGTAACCATGTTTAGGAAACGTCAGTGATAGCATTTCTTACGATCATAGTTACGTCATGATACCCGTTCATCATATGCTCAATCGGACAGCCATCAGATGGTCCTTACTGTTGCACAGAAGCTGAGTAGCTTTTCCAGTCTCATCCGTTCAAGCAGACTATAAAAATGGCAAAATACCATTTTGTGTATAGCGAGACGGACACAGTTTGACAGTCATTTCTATTGTGCTTTTTGTAATACTAGAGGACAATGGCGGTTTGTATATAATATGATTTGGATGTAATGTTTTTACACTTAGGATTTATCATAATATGGTTGATTCGACATTAAAAGTATAAATTTACACCAGCACAATCGCTGACTACTGAGTTATACTATACTTTATTGATGTATCTTGGAATTGTCGAAACGCAAAACGAACTTTGGTTTGTCGGATTAGATTTGATTACTAGCAAAAATCAGTAAATATATAGTTATTTTCTCATCCAAAAGTTTTAAAAAGGCCACACATGACCTTTGTATGTAATGGTCAATTGTGTTTAATGGAAGTGTAATAGTTTTAAACCTATCAGTGCTTTTGTTGTTTTTACTTTAAGAAGACCAACACCCCTCCAATCCAAATACTTCAAGATTTTCCCATTCACCAGAAAGTCATCGGAATCATGGGTCACAATATCCCTCATCCATTTCCAGATCACCTTCATTAAGAAATTCTCGTAATGAACAGTATCGTCATCATCCTAATCGGTCATCTAACTCAGCTTCTAAATATCATCCTTGTCAGCGTCATTACAAATCCCCAGAGAGGAGTGCCCGAGATTTCACCTCTGGAAAGCACAATAAATCATCTGTTTCATCAAATCAGCCAAAAAGACGTACTCACCATTCTCCAGTACCACTAAATAATCCTAATTCATCTTTCCGCCGATTTGAACGTGAACGAATAAATCTTCACAACAGACGGTTTCGCGCTTTATCTCCGGTGATAAATAGGAATGCTTATAGAAGAATCGGCATTAATTCATTAAAAGTGTCTGGTCCACGTTTCAACCGTACTCATCACCAAAGAAGATTTTAACCATATATGAAAATTATTGTACAGCTTCAAATCTCACGTCCCTTTTAGAGAAGAAATCAAAGAACAAATATATTAGCTATTTTTCCTTTGAAAGTTATTCTGTCTGTATTTCCTTATTTTTGTTAGCTTCTAATTTTTGGTTGCCTACCATGTCCTCAGTAAAAATAAAAGTCTATATTAAGCGGTGCTGCTACTTCTTTGGTCACATGTTCCTGTATCGGTGTTTATTGTCTATGTATATTTGATCAGTTTTTACTTTCTAATTCTACCAAGGTTACTGTTGCACTCAAACATCTTGATTGTATATTGTGCTAAACAGTAATATGGAAACGATTCTGAAGATTGAGAAGTATGTGACTATTAGGTCTGATAATTGCCCATCTAATTAGAGATTAAAATGTTTGACATTCAGGTGTGATGTTGTAGAACTAAGTTAACCAGCTAAACTTGCTAGCTTGATTATAAAAATAAATGCCTATGTAAGGAGGGGACCAGTCACTAACGAGTCGAACACCTACGATGAATTAATTAAATTTTTAAATGACTAACAATTATAAATCCTGCAGTTTAATGCGAGGATACCTTTAGTTTCTAGACATTCTATGTAAATTAAATGACATTAGACAGTTTTTCTATGATCTCGTGACATAATAAATACATTTACTTCATGTATGCTAACATCTTTGTAATCTCAAGCTGACATATGTAGCATTATTACAAAAACAGTATTAATGGATATAATCCTTTGGTCCTACAAAACGTTCCCAGGTTTGGCACGTTATAACAATGAGTGTAACGTCCACATTGAATTTCGACATCATCGGTTAGACAGAAAAGATTTAGAGGAATAAAATTTGTTTCATTTCTCGGTACATACATGTAAGCTGTACACTTGGTACTTCTTGATTATTTGTTTCATTTAAACTTGCTTGATGTAAAATGCTAGAGGCATATCAATCAAGTTTACACTTGAACTCTAAAATGTACCTGAGTACGAAGAAAATAATTGTACAAATATCAACCCTCATTTGCTAAATAACGTTTCTGGATTTATTTTCATCACCAATATGTGTGAGCATGTGAGAATCTCATGTATCGTGATAAACTAGTAATTAAACCATGCAACTTTCAACCGTTTGGTTACAGATTCGAACCACGCTAAACCTAGGTATGTTTGAGTGGCGACGTAATACTACTAACCTCCAGAGTGCTGTCGAAAAATGGACATGTAAATTGTAGTTGGTAGAAAAGTTATACTTGGTTTTTAATTAGTTTCCATTTTAATGCCCCAAATTTCGTTACGTTAATAAGTTGTGGTTCTTACGTTCCACACAAAGTCGTTAAATCATAATCCAAAAAGGATAGAATAGACGTACGGGATCAGTTTACTAGACTCCAGCAAATGGCATCGGTTTATGCATAGAAATCTACTACTCTACACTATACCATTTGACTTTCCCTAGCTGGTTGTGAAGTAGCGAATTTCCCCTGTCTTGACATTAAGCTTGAAATTTGTCTGCTTATCCTGATAGTCTGTATCTGAAGAATTCGCTATCATTCGTATTCCATCTGTAACTAAACCACATGAGTAGCATTTGAGTGCACTGAAAGTGCGATTGATGGCATTAAAAGTTGAAGTGCATTGAGAAAATAGGTATTATATTGCTACCATCATCAATAATATTATTCGGTTTCCTGCATGTGTGTTGTTATGTACTCTGGTGACAAATGACTCATCAGAGTACATAACAGCACTCACATCCAGGAAACCGAATAATATTATTGATGATGGTAGCAATATAATACCTATTTTCTCAATGCACTTCAACTTTTAATGCCATCAATCGCACTTTCAGTGCACTCAAATGCTACTCATGTGGTTTAGTTACAGATGGAATATGAATAATAATGAATTCCTGGGCTGTAAGCTATCAGGAAGAAAACCATATCTACTTAGCTTCATTATTCATAAGTTGTTGGTAAAGTTAAATAACCAGGTCAGCAATGCTGTGCTAATCAAAGAAATTTTATAGAAAAAAGTCTTCAAAACAAGATGTTTGTACTTGTTTCGGTGCATGGACCTCTTCGAATGTTTTGCTGTTAACACGTACAGTTTATATTTTGATTTTTATTTGGCCCAAGTGATTGGTAACTGTTTGGAATAATGAGTATCTGTGAAATGGATAAAGGTTTGTTGACACTTTCTTCTCATGATATCTTCGTCAATATACTTTGTCACTACATTTACGCCAGGTTGATATCTGACGTCTTGAAAGCTACAATCTTATCCATAAAAACCAATATGTTGGGTGAACTATTAGTTTACGTAAGGCAGTTGGCTACGGTTATGATCCAAACAGATTTTGGTTGGTTGAAAAAAACTGGGTTCTCTTGGTGATAGTCAGACATTAATCCGTTTATCTGATATAATTCGAAGATACTAGAGTCATTTATAATCTATAGTCTGGTATATCAACAAAGCAGTTTTCTTTGAAATGTAAAGCAAGAATGGACTTTTTAACTGTCTGTTTGAAATAGACATCAACTTCACTCACTGAATAATTCCCACCATTCCAGTGGGAAGGAATCCCGAGGCAAATACATCGGCGATTTTAATGCTGTATTCTCAGATACTTGTGAATGTTTCTTCATATCATTCCAGTGGGCCATTCCTTGTACAAATTAGATTTTGTTTTCATGTGCATCAATGGTATCATTCTGAAAATAGTTCTAAAGACCAGGTCCAATCTCGTTTTAGACTTGAAACATCTACACTATCACTCAACGTGTATATATTACTGAGCCTTCTAAATGGTTTCGACTGATTGGAATGTTCATCAAGCATCCTTCACCGTACAACAACTACCTTATGGTCCTTCAGAGTTTGTCTCAAAAACCACATGTCCTAACTTCGGGAAGTAAAGTGATTTAAAAGTGCCCTTCCGTTCAGGCATGTGAATAGTGAGAATGGTGCAAGTACATATACATCAAGCCCACTTAATTTTTTTCCATTGGGTATTATTTGTAACAGTAAGAACAAACTAATCTGTCTGTTTACATCCTCATGTTCGCAGAGTAGGTTTTCCTGACTCCATTTATTGTCTGGACATGTGGTAAGACGCATAAGTTGAATGTCATGCTACAATGAATGTGTATACACATACCTATAAACCCCGATCTTTCTTGTCACTCAAAATTCTACTTGTTTCCTTTGAATACCCATACGAATGAATTTCGAATTGGTAGTAGGGGATCCACAGGATGTTTGCAGATTTTCGAAAAGCCTTATCGTATACAACTCTTAACCAACAGCCAGATGATGTACCTTTCCATAAACTTATCAGTATACATGAAGTGCTTCTTGTTTGGAAAACCAACTGATATATATACATATATACAGGACAGCATACCCAAAATACTAAATTATTATACTTCTACTTAACTATCTAGGCAAGTGCTGTAAACGAGTTGTTCGTTGATAGTGTCACGCTGAAGATGGGAGTTAATCTTTAATCTGAAGGATAAATATGCCCGTCTTGCTTTAAATGTCCTCCTCAGTAATATAAGTATTTTGTAACTAAACAATCATCCCATGTCCGTTTAATTATCTATACACCCAACTCCAATATCAATCTTAAAGTTAAACTGTCATCTGGACTTGTCTCCACATCAACAGAATGCTTCAACTATCAAAAACCTGTGAACCAATTTTGTAGGTGTTCGTCATTTAACTGGTTATTCAGTTCCAATAGTCGAATTGCCTAAAATTACATCAAGCTAAGGAACTAAATTTTTTTCAACCCTCACAGTAAATCTGAATACATTTCTACAAGAGTACGTGCATAACTACATTCAACGGAGATAACCCAGCGTTTAGGTAGACGGCGATTCGGCATACATATTACATGTCTTAACTACCTCAGTTGGTGAATATTCACTACTTCATCAAGTGGCATTCTATCCTTGCTTAGCACCTTGCCATTAGCATCAACATCGTCCACTCGGTGCTCCTAAAATATAAGAACAATGTTTCAAAGTCATCTCATGGACATAACAAAGTAAAACAGAAGTGATTAACTGTATACTCGTCTTTTGGTTGGTAAACGGAAATTTAGCCTTCACTACAAGTGACGCATGTTGACGAAAGTAAAACAGAAGCAAAAGGTCAAGGAAGACCAATCGAACTTTGGAGGTTCTGCTAGACTAGTATATGCTTAGGAACGTATCAGTGGGTCCATTACCAATGAGGGAGCAAAGAAGATTGAAATAGAAACGAACAAAGACTACGTGGTAATCGAGAGGTGGTGGGTAACAAAAACAAAATAATGGGAACAGTAGTGGTGATGGGTAACATGAAGCAATTGTTCAGGAAGATAAGGGATAAAAAGTCGATTGTTAGCAAAATTATCTCTCGGGGAGATGGACTACTTTCAAATCGAGCAACCAGAATTATGAGCGAAAAACGCTGCAGCAGTTTAACTGTTATCAAGCTACAGTCTAACTACCCAGTACTCACTAACAGCCTGAACAGTAGAGCACTATCGATCTCACAGAAATCGAGAAGGCAACGACTCGATGGAAATATAACAGCTGACTAATTGTTTTCTGAGGTCTATCTTCAGCAGTTAGATTGACTGACAAGTTAGAGAATGGGAACCGGGATATAATTTTTCCCAACTGATTGTGACCAACGATCATTCCGATTTATAAACGAGGATGAAAATCCTAGTGTGACAACCACAGAGCAGTCCATAAGACTGATAATGAACCTAAAACAATATCATTTACTATCATCCAACACTTAGCTATTTGAGGTTTTTAAGCTTGAAAAAGGTTATTCCTAGACCTAGCACTGACTAAATATTCATCATTTGGAGTTTTAGGACATACATAATTTTACTGATGCTCAGCTAGTAAGATTCCTTAACGTTGAATATAATTGGATAAGATTACGGAAAGATAAGATACAGAATCTGGTCGACGATTACTAAAAAAAGGTCCAAATAAAACAACAGTACAGATGGTTTTTAGAAAATCTAAGTTTCGTATGTAGCAACACACTCAATGTAAATAAACATTACGATTGTACTTAAAACAATTAAAACTTAACAAAGATGACTAAAAAGTATCAACAATGAACGATGTTTATGAACCGTGCAGTTGCACAATTTTATTCAGATTACGACTAAAGTACAATGTACAAATCTGCTTTGGGAAAATACAATCTGAATGATACAAAATAAGTAAGTTGAGTGTCTTATTTACTTCAGATAAGTTAAAACAAGAAACCTTGACAACTTCATTGCTGGAAGTTTTCTCACAACAGTCGGTTATTAATTTATTAACAGACCATGCACTGATAGTTAAATTTCTTTGTTCAGCACATGATGCGACGAATCTTAGCAAACACTGACTATACGGTCTGTTTTGTGGAGTAAATAAGCTCCAAGCTAATTCTGATTCATGCACATCTTGCTGATCGACATGAATAGGAATTAATCGTACAACAGATCCACGAGGTTTACCATTCATTGAAACAACACCCATAGTAAAGTAATATGTACATGAATTTAATAAACAGCTTTTTACAACAACGGAAAACACCAAAAAATTAGGCCGTTCACTTGCAACAACTAAAAGTTTAGAACATGGTTTCACTGGAGCATTTAAGTAGATATTCTGTACCAATTTACTGAACGTAAACCGTTCTGACACGTATTCACCCACAATGTGTTTCCCACTGTCGTTTGTGCGCATGAGACAACCAACAAGTTCGGTTGATGATGGATCGAAATGAATGCCTAGAATACAAACCGACTGTGATAATGATGTAGGCTTTTCTGAACAATGACTTAATGCAGTAAACCAAGAGTTAAAATTTGGCTTAGGTGCATCCATTGAGTCACAGCGACACAACAAAGGAACTAAACATAATTTCCCATCATATGATAACTGGTAAATGGTGTATGAAAGCATATCAGGAACATATAACACAAACATTAGATCACTTTTACGATTGACATAAAATTCATACACAATTCCCGAAGAACACGTACGATCTATATTGAAATTCGTATTTATCACTGGGACTGTTTGTACATCCGTAAGGCATAGGTGAGTTAAATGATTATCAGCTGTAAAGCTGATAACAATTGGGATAGAAAACATGAATAATGATAGCAATAGGACTGGTAAGCTTTTTTGTGAGTGTTTTTCAGCCAATAAGACACCTATATGAACAGTTTCTTTACCGGAGCTACCTGGAGGTATAATAATTTCCAACAGTGTCACTTCGGAGACAAACAGCTTTCTTTCCCACAATAACCGTGATTCATAGTTACAAAGTGATATACTATACAAAGTGAGCATATGATTAGAGTCATACAAAGTAATTAACAGAGAATTCGATAAAAGAATACAGGATCCCAAAACACATAGAGTTATGTGTCTGCAACACTCTTCACTGGTAGGTTGAATAAGTACACTTTGCACTGGTGATTCACTTGATTCGAATAGTTTCACACTAATAATTTCTACTGTGATAAATTTAAATATTTAAATATTTACCAGGATCTTCCGGAATTATTTCAGATGTTTCCTCTGCTACAGGCAACAAAATACTCGGTTGGGTGATTAAAGTAGACTTTAATTTCTTCTCAGCTTTCTGTAAAAATATTTACCAATCAAAAATTCATGAATACCTGAAGAAGCAAACGTTTCTTTTCAAGCTCTTGCTGCAAAACGTGAACACGTTCCTTAAGATTCTCACATCGATTCATCAAATCAGCCACTAAATAAATCAAATGCAGTCTGCACTTTTACGAATGTAATCTGGTGCGGTATAAAAAACTTATTAAGTCAATGTGATTTGTTAATTATTAGAAATGGTAATGCAATTCGATCAGACCTAACTTATGCCTCACAAACTGCCTATATTTTAATTCAATGTTGTGGTTTGAAACTTTGCTTTATTTAAATCCCAAATTCGAGACGGTTTTATTGAAAACTTCGAGAGAAATGCGACACAAAATATGAGAAATACCCAAGTCAGTCCAATTAGATGTGTATAGCTTCGGTTGGTCCTGGAGTATTGCACTGACTTGAAGAGACTGGACGTAATTAGCATTGCAAACAAATACTAAACAGCAACAGAATTCTTAAGGAAATTCATGATGGTGCGAGAAAATATATTCTCTCACGAATCATAGGTATACCTATGATTCGAAGGAAAGCTTTACAACACTGAGTTTTGAAATGAAATATTCCTTTGGCAGATTATATTTAAATTACTAAAGAAGCTTCAACCCTTGGCCTAGGCCAAGGGTTGAATTATACTTTACTCAAATTGAACAGCGTAGTCTACATAACTCACTAAGAGCCGTTAGATTAGTCAAAAACTATGGACAAAAACCAGTCTTTGGTTTGCACGGCATTTAAATTTCTAGGCAAAAGGATGGTATAAAGGTGGGTAGAAAACAAAATGATATAAATTCCCAGCTACTTTCTGGTTAATCAGACACAGTTAAAGGTTAGCTTAAGAACAGATTTACAACGATATTGCTATATATAGCAATATCGTACTATAGTAATAACGTTTATAAATGTAGACAGATTTCGTATTACTAATAAGTTTATTAATAGCTTCTGAAAACCGCTTTAACTGTAAATTGATAGGGAACGATATGAATTTACCATAACATTAGAAGGATGAAGTCTTCTCAAAACTCACCGTCTACTTCCCAACAACATTAAAAAATTTAAGCCATGGCGGGTATTCTGTATTTGAAGTGGATGAGGTCAAATTCATATTTACGTAGTAAGAACAGAAGGCCTACGGCCTATGTTATTCCTTTTCTAGTATGCTTCTATGAGTGTCCAGTCTTCTCTTGAGTAAGTAAATTGGAGGTACAGACACCATTACTTCGGATAACAGGTTCCAAGAATTTGTAGTGACTCACATTTATCACGAGAACACGACTGGTTTAATAAAAACAATTATTATTATAACCAAGTGTACCAGTGACTGTTTTAATGTGCTTTTGTTTGACTGTGCTAATGACAGCTATTTTGTGCTTCCATTCTTTTACTTACACTTTGATTGTAACTTCGCGCGAATTCGGTTACGTTCTGTAACCAAGCTTGTATCCTGGCACGATCTCGGTATCCTTTCGATGCCACGAGATCGCCAGCAAATAAACATCGACTTGGTCCATTAATTGCCTTCTGGTATTCGGCTTCTCGGGGATTTTATGGAGTCATTTGGAACGAGCTTCTTACGCCTTCTGATCTAATTGGCACGTGTTTCTTGGTAGCGGTATTCACAGTTAATCTCAACTCGACGCCACGCTACAAATTAATGACTCAGTGTGAAAACCTGTATGCCGCGGGTATTTTGTTCGTTGGCTTTTCTACCCGCCCCCCTATGTCCTCTCAGATGTATCGATCTAGTGGGGAGAAAAAGAGAAAATGTATTAGGTCCAAAGTCTTTTATTAGTATTCTTTAAATCAAAATGAGATCACCTCTTAATCTGCGATAGGACAGAGTAAAGATTTTTATATTTTCAAGCCACTCTTGGTATGGTAAACCCCAGAGTTCTGGAATTTCAGGGGTTTGCAGCCTGAACGCAGTTCTCAAATTTAGTTCTCACTGCTACCTCCCGGCAGTGGGCCGTCTCCTTAAGATCATGACTCACTGTCACCTCAAGATCTTTGTGAGAACGGATCACGGGTACAGGCACCTCCCTTATGCTCTGTCTACTATTCTTTGTATCCCCAAAGTGCACGTATGCTTGTGTGCGTATGGCTAGTATAACTTTATAGCGTCCTCATATTTTCATCATCTGTTGATGTTACTCCATGAAATTCAGCATTCACTCTTCAGGTATAACAGCGTGTAGAGGTAAATAAATTCACAAAACCAATAGCTCTGTAGGTCTTAGTCATTTGATGCTGATCACATTAGTTTTACTGAATTCACTTGGCTGAAGTCGATCGGTCACTCATCCGCAACAGATTACGATTGGGTACGATATGCTCCACACCTCCTACGACCGCTAGCCAGCATAGATTAATCACTTTCCGATATATCAATAGCATGTCAAATATATCTTCGGATCTCGTCGCTTCTGACTTCTGATTTGTCTGGGTTGGTATGTTTCGACTATATGAGGTGTTGCTGGTTAAGGTGTTGTCGAATTCCGAATACCTGTGACATCTATGGTGGTGAGCCCGACATGATCTGGCCCACTAATCTGTAAACTGTGAATCTGTTCCTTGTTAGAAATGTATTTCATTAATTTTTACGTATTGTGATATCATGGTTTAGTGTTTTTGTATATTTTTTCTCGTTTATTATTGTACTTTATATTCATCATGACCAAACAGACTCTTCAATTTTCTTACGATCAAGAGTCTTTCGCCGACCTCATTTCAGCCAATGCCATTCTGACCCGAAGGCTGGTTCTTATACAAAGAAGCTGACTTTAATGAGCTCAGCGTGACAGACCCACATTCACATGTCCTCGCAATAGTGAAAGCACTACTGAGCGGTTTCAACATGTACATTACATTGTAGCGGTAAATAAATCCCCAAAATAAATAGCTCTGTACGTTTTCGACATTGGATGCTGACCATATGTTTTAGTGGACTCATCTAGCTGAAGGCGCTCGGTCAGGCATCCGCACTAGATCACGTGTGGTAACACTGTGCTCAACATCTACCGCAATCGCTAGCCAGATTAGATCAGAGAATTCCGATATATTGGTCATCGCCAAATATACTCTTCCGATCTCCTCGACTCTGTCTTTTGATTTCTGTGGGTGGGTACGAAATATATCAGAAGGTGTTAATGGTAGAAGCGTTGTCAAACACTGAATACCTGTGACATCATCATTGTTGAGACCGACGTGATCTTGTACACCTAATTGCAACTGTGATTCTGTTCCTTTTTGGGATTTTTATATATCATTGCCTTATTTATTTTTTTTTTAAACATTGTGATTTTTTCCGTATTTTTTCTTGGATATATATATATTTTTTTCCCCCGTTCATTATCGTACTTCATACTTCATCATGACTGAACAGACTCCTAAGGTATTTATAATTAAGACCATGTCCCCACCCTCGTTTCAACTCATGCCTTTCTGGCCCGACAAAATTAAAGCCTGGTTTTGCTACGCAGAAGCCGATTTCCACGAGCACGGCGTGAACGACACACGTGCACAATTCCTCGCAGTAGTCAAGTCACTACCGCGCGAATTCAACAGGTACGTAACACCTAGTATATTTACTAGTGGTGTTTCCGATCCTTACGAAATCTTAAAACGCTCGATTCTTAAACGAGGAGACCTAACCGATCGACAAAGGTTAGATCAACTCTTCAATAACATCGACCTGCAACAGGGTTCTGTGACGGACATGTTGTGACGGATGAGAGAGGCCCAAGAACTTTCGACGAAGGTCTGTTCAAACAACTCTTCTTGTCAAAACTTCCCCAACAGGTGCAAGCAGTTCTGGTCTCGTTCCAGAACAACGCCTTAGACGAGCTAGCTGCATCTGCCGACCGCATTTTAGAAATTACGAAACCTTCCACTACCGAGGTGTTTTCTGTCAAAGAAAAGCCTCAAACGACTCAGAATGATATAACCGAGGTTTGTCACACACTCACGCGTTATCTTAGTCTTCGTACCGACCGTAAGAGATCGCGCACCCCACGTAGAAGCATTTCACGTAAGCGATCTGTCTCTAGACCACGAGAGACAGATAACCCCGACTGGTGCTGGTATCATAACCGGTATAGAAATTCTTCCAGGAATTGCAGAAAACCCTGCAATTTTCCAAACACAAAACCGACCGGCTCGAAAAACAACTCGGGAAACTTCCAAGCCGGCACGTGTTAACGGCAACCGTAGCCGGCGAACATAGCCGTTTGTTATGCGTCACAGTTGTGACAACGAGAGTTCGCTACCTCATCGACACTGGCGCAGAAGTTAGCGTTCTCCCAGCGAATCCCAACGATCGGCTCCATGAATCGGCTCTAAACATACAGGTGGCAAACGGAAACCGATCGCTACGTATGACAAAAGGTACGTCTACCTTAACGTGGGTTTACGCAAACCCATTCACTGGACCTTCGTTGTTGCAGATGTTTCTATGCCAATCATAGGTATGGACCTTCTACAACATCACAATATGATCATCGATACGCACAAACGGAGGCTAGTAGACGGAAACACTAATTTGTCCGTTTGCGTAACTTCTTTTACTGGTTGCAGATTATCCCCAGTCACAATTAAACATACGATAGACCCATTTTATCAACCGCTACTCGATAAGTATCCTGGGATTCAGCAAACGCAACCGAAACTACCGTGTGTAACCAGCAATGTTACACATCACATCACGACTACAGGACCACTTGTATTTTCTAAAGCACGACGACTAGCTCTCGAAAAGCTAAGGTTAGCGAAAAACGAGTTCGACCATATGATAGACTTAGGAATCATACGACCGTCAAATAGCCCATATGCATCTCCGTTGCACATGGTCCTTAAAAAACACAGTAACGATTAGCGTCCAACTGGTGTCTATCGGCGATTGAATGCGAAAACCATTCCCGATCATTACCCGTTGCCTCGCATTCACGATTTGACAGCTACCTTGAAAGGTATAACTGTCTTTTCGAAAATCGACCTGGTTAAAGCGTATAACCAAATCCCTATGGCTACTGACGACATACCGAAAACAGCTATCATAACTCCCTTCGGACTCTATGAATTTTTGCGAATGCCTTTCGGTCTAAGGAATGCTGCTCAAACATTCCAAAGATTCATGGACGACGTTTTTGGAGGTCTCAACTTCGTACATGCGTATGTTGATGACTGCCTAATCGCAAGTCCGGACAGAGAAACACATCTCAAGCATCTGGATCTTGCTTTCGAACGACTACAAAAACATGGCATTACTGTAAACGTTCAGAAATGCCAATTCGGAACCGACTCATTAGACTTTCTGGGACACACTATCGATGCTCAAGGTATCCGACCCCTTAGAACCAAAGTGGCATTAGTATCACAGTAGACGCATCGGACTCGGCAATCGGTGACGTCTTACAACAATGGGTTAACAACTCCTGGCAATCTTTGGCATTGTTCTCTAGAAGGTTGCTAGACACCGAATCGAGGTACAGGACATTCGGTAGGGAACTCCTAGCTATGTATTGTGGTGTACGGCATTTCCAACACTATATCGAAGGCCGTGAATTCACTCTTTTCACGGACCATAAACCGCTCACTTTCTCGTTAAGCTCTACTTCAGACAAGTACTCTCCCCGTGAGTCTCGACAACTGGACTACATTTCGCAGTTTACTTCAGACATTCAACACATCTCTGGAGCAAACAATGTAGTTGCAGACGCCTTATCTCACATAACTTCCTTGAATAGTTTCCAAGGAATCGACCTTCATAAACTCGCCGAGCTTCAAAAAGAAGACAGTGATCTTCATCACGAGTTATCGTCCACAACCCTCAAGTTACGTATCAAACAGATGGGAACAGGTAAGGAAACCTTACTGTGTGACACATCTACAGGTAGAGATCGCACAATCGTGCCGAAACGTTATCGACGCAACGTCTTCAATCCGTTGCACAAACTTTCTCATCCAGCTGTCCGTGCAACCATCAAACTTATAGCAGAACGGTTTTGCTGGCCTGGAATGAATAAAGACGTGAGGGAGTGGGCATGCTCCTGTGTAAGCTGCCAAAAGTCTAAGGTTATCAGACACAATAAATGTCCCTTAGGCTCATTTAAAACTCCCGATGCTCGTTTCGACCATGTTCATCTGGATTTGGTAGGACCTTTACCAGATTCAAATGGATACTCTTACCTCTTAACCTGCGTAGACCGTTTCACTCGATGGCCAGAAACAGTAACTATCAAGGACATCACTGCTGAAACAGTGGTCCTCACATTCGTTGATCTATGGGTAGCATTTGTTCAGATTGATAATCTATGTGACGCATCGTTCTTTTCGAAGTTAAGGAGATGACTAATAATCAGCGAGTTTGAGACTGCTATTGTCCTTCATTAATGTCAACAGTACCCTCTACACTGCAGCTAGCAGAGCT